TCGGGGGACGATCCATGGAATGGCGGTAGCCACAGAGTTTAGTTATGTGATTAACTTAAAGTCCACCAGTTTTGCCACGCATTCGAATTTTCATGGAGCCCAAATACACGAAATCAAATAACTTCCTTTAACTGAAATGGAATCCCAGTAAACTCTCCAGTTCAACAAAATAGAGGGAAAAGCGTGCTGTGCGTGGAGCAAAGAAACTGAAATTTCAAGGAAAAGGGTCGAATTAGAGAATTTAAAAAGTATGTTTAATATTCCTTAGAAGGAACTGTTGTGAACTTAATACCTGAAGAACTGGCTGTAGCTGGAAGTGATTTCAATTTACCTAAGTGTTTCCATTCCACTTTCTAATTTTTTAATTTCTTGAGGATAGTTGACACAATGTTACATTGGTTTCAGGTGTACTCACTCATAGTCAACATCTCTATCTTATGGCATGCTCACCACAGGTGTAGCTACCATCTGTCATGGTACACTGCTATTACACAATTCGACTTCTCCATTTTTTCTTTTAAAAGCTTCACAGCATGGGATGAAGCCTAATTTCCAGTTATGGAGAGAACTTAATTGAAAAGCTATGTACTTTGGTCAGGTGGTAGCTTTTAACCCGGGCAGAGTGGTAAAATGCCAAACTATTTTGTTACCTGTACAAAGAGATGAAGTGTATGACTCCCAGTGTTATGATTCAAAGACCCTTTAGGACATATATGGGATAATGTGCTCCAACTTTGACACTAAAGACAAGTTATAACCTCCCACATAGAGGAAAAGGTATGTACTGAGCCTCTGTAAATTATTTTACCTTTCAGGACCATGAACTGGCTCAAATATAGATGATTTTGTGTTTGTGAAAACAGGCTTGAAGGGACATTTCTAGTCCTAGTTTCATTAATAAAAAAAACTTTAGATTCTGTAACTTAGCTTCTTCAATTGTCAGACATATATATAAACCACATTCTACTTTTTTCTGGCTTTCAGATTTCCAATAAACAGTTTCTGAAATAAAGCAGTTTTTTTGCAGAGCTTTGAAGCCAAAAAATTATGTATTTCTTAAATATTTTTATAATGGGGTAATGATACTTTAGGAAGTAAATTTCAAGTATTTTTTCACTTTTAATTATGTGGAATGAATATATTTGAGGCCCGTTTATATTTCTACTGATTCTACTCTTTCAAAATGTCTGAAACATTTTTTTAAAGATTTTACTTATTTATTTGACAGAGAGAAACATAGTGAGAGGGAACACAAGCAGGAGGAATGGGAGAGGGAGAAGCAGTCTTCCCGCCAAGCAGGGAGCCTGATGGGGGGCTTGATCCCAGGACCCTGAGATCATGACCGGAGCCAAACCCAGGCGCCCCAGGAAACTTTTTTTTAAAGTAATCTCTACACCCAACGTGGGGCTCTAACTCACAACCCCGAGATCAACAGTTGCATGCTCTGCCAACTGAGCCGGCCAGGTGACCCAAAATGTTTGAATTTTGTTTATGTTGAAGAACTGCTCTAATTTTTGTCATCTTTTCTAAAATTTACCTGACAACAGGACTGCTGTAATATTTTTAAAATATCTTTTCACATTAGAAAGTGTTATTTGCAGATTTCGGAATTTGAAATTTTTACTAACTGGAAGGAAAGAAAACTTAGTCACAACTTAAAAAATCTATAATTGATTAACAAAATATAGTTGTGAATTATCTAAACAAATCATGCTTATATACCGTAATTATCTTTTAGAGAAGGTACACTTTAGTTCATGTTGTACATTTGTATTATATAAATTATAGGAATGTCAAGAATTTAATCAAACTAGAGAATTTTGAGTCATATACTTTTTTTAAAAAAAAGATTTTATTTATTTGACAGAGACAGACACAGCGAGAGAGGGAACACAAGCAGAGGGAGTAGGAGAGGGAGAAGCAGGCTTCCCGCGGAGCAGGGAGCCCGATGCGGGGCTCGATCCCAGGACCCTGGGATCATGACCTGAGCCGAAGGCAGACGCTTAACCGACTGAGCCACCCAGGCGCCCCGAGTCATATACTTTTTAAATATAGCACTTAAAACATAACACCTTTATTCATTTTTTCTGAAAACATCCCTTTAAATTTTTCTTAAAACTAATTTCAGTGTAGCTTTTGATCCAAAGAAGGTAACTGTTCTATGAAATGTTAGTATTTGTATATATATTTTGAATTCATGAAATAAGAAAAAAGTCATAAATAAGGAATATAATACTATTGTTAGGATTATGACTTATTTTCTGAAGTGTTAATTGGAAATAACTTCCTTTAATTAAAATGGAATGCTGGTAATCTTTCTCTCCAACAAATTTTAAGAAAAAGATAAAAGTGTTGTATTTAGAGCAAAACAAAAAAATAAAAATTTCAAGGAAAAAAGGAAACATTGAACAACTAGGAAATGAAAAACAAACTGTATTCCTTAGAAGGAACTAATTATAAACTTCAGATAATAAGAAGGATTGGCTACAGCAGGAATTGAATTCAATTTATTACTGTTAGCTAAGATAAATCGCATGCATGGCTCGAACCAAAAGTCCAGGGACAGCATGTTCTGCCAACTAGGAATGAAATTTACTCTTTAAAAACAACTCCCTTACACATTTAAGATTATGTCCACTGTGACTTTAGTCTCCAGATGAGCTGAGATAGATTTCCAGCTTTCCTAGACTTTTTTTCCTAATCCCCTCATATCTTCTTCGTGAAAGTAAGTATTTTGGAATATGTTTATTTTTTGATAAAGTTAAGCTTTGGAGCACCACAAACTGAGATTTAAGATTATAACTAAGATTTTTTTTTTTTTGCTCCCCCACATTGGGGGCCATATCGCCCCACTGAGAAAATACAACCTAAATGACCCCTTATGTGGGTGTATTCCTACAGGAGTCTTCCTTTGCTTAGACAATATGCACCATGGCAACTTCAGATTTGTATTATGCTTTTCTTGGACCCAAACCTGGAACACCAAGAGGCATCTTCGTCAGCATAACTGTCACTACAATAGTGTCAAGACAAGAATAGTCTGTGCTCAGCACTCTTCACATGTGCTTAACTAGTGAACTAATTTCCAGCAAATACATGCTTTATCAGCATTTTCTTCCTCTAGTTCACATAGATGCCCATCCATCTATTCATCTAGTCATTTAACGTTTCAGTGTCTATTACTTGTTAAGGCAATGGGTATGCAGTGAGGAGATGAAGTCTACCCTCATGTAATTTACAATCTAGCCAACTTGTTCCTTCTTCTCCCTTATCTCCTGAATACAGAGTCCATCCTTTATTGTTGCCATGGTCACAATGTTGAGGCTTCAAATATTCCTTTGGAAATGCCTAATCTGGCCATTTTCCTAATCACTTTTATTTTTTTCGAGATTTATTTACTTATTTTAGAGTGGGAGAGAGAGAGAGCGGGGGTGCGTGCACAGTGGGGAGGAGCAGGGGGAGAGGGAAAGGGAGTCTTAGGCCAATTCTGGGCTGAGAGCAGAGTCCAATGCAGGGCTCAAAATCTGGAATGTGAGGTGAGGATCTGAGCAGAAACCTGAGCAGAAACCAACAGTCTTAATGGACTAAGCCATCCAGGTGCCCCTTGACATTTTCCTAATCACTTTTAGATGATTTAGCCATGAAAGCATCCCCTCAACCTACTGAAGAAGTATGTATGCCATGGTGAAGAGAGTTGGTATTTAGAAGGCAGGTGGCTATGGTCTTTATTCTCACTTTCTAATCAAGCGTGAGGCCACAGTTATTTCAGCTCTGGGAGCCTTGTTTTACTCTTTCATAAAAGGGTATAACCACATTACAGGGTTGTTGTGTGGCTGTAAGTTAAAATATTTCATACAGAACCTGGTTGGCGTATCATATTAAGTAATTATTACATTTTTTAGACATCTCTGTGTGCGACTTAAAGACTTTAAAAACCTTTTCCTGCAGTTATATGTAAATGGCCACAGTGAGCTGCAAAAACAAAAATATAAGGCAAGGAGACAATTATTTTTAGTTTCCTATTCAATCATAAAATGTCTTTCATTAGGCATCTTCTCCTTTTGAATCTTTTCCTTCATCTGTAACACATAAATTATGCCAAGGGTCTCAGAGCCTTAATAACTCAGCTGTGATACAGGTAACCGCTAGCCTCATTCAACTAACTGTAAATACTATATACGGGTTTTTAAGTTTTAACTGATCATTCATAGGTATTAACCCAGTTTTCAAAAATTTGAATAATGGCGTTCATTCACAGCTGAAGTCAGATTAGTATGCCTCCGAGAGATAAAGTAATTTCTGAAATCAAAGGGTGGCTTATAGGTTCAAATAATCTCTGGCTTCCTCCTTTCGTCGTAGGTCAACTAGCATCGGACCGCTCAACTTACTCAGGCCAGCAAAGCCTTCGATTTCACCCACACCATTTCCTCATTTCCCCTGGAACCCACTCCAGGCGCTGGATCAGGAGGCTCCCCCAGGCGGCCGCCCCTCCCTCCTCGAACGCCCAGAAAACCACCTGCACGTGGAGGAGCAGCCAGCGAAGCTCGGAAATTCCGGTGACCTGACGTACGACCGTTTGCGGTTGCGGATTGGGGAACCAGGGAGGGCGGGACGCGTCGCCGGAAGTGACGCAAGCCGGAAGCGGCTTTCTGCAGAGAAATTGGGGGCGCGGTTTTGAAAAGAGGTCTGAAGGGTCAATGTGAGCGAATAGAGGCCGGTCTATTTTCCAAGCCAGTTCGCAACGGATTAGCTTCTCAATTTTTTTTTTTTTTTCTGTGTATTCTCTGCAACATGAGGGACGTAGCCTCACAGTGATTTCCGTGAGCGTCTCTAAAGAAGGATCAAGGACGGGTGTGGTGGAGGCGAGGAAGCCGCTCTAAACTGGCTACGCTGAAGAAAGCGTGGATGTACCTCCGCAATCCCGAATATAACTTGGAAAGAGCGGCGCGATTTTCCTGGCCATCTGGTGGTCCTGGCACGTGTGGGTAGCTATTCATTGCCAAGACGCTGCTAACTGTTAATTCGGAAAGAAAAAAATCACCGTTTTCCAGCATTTTTCTTGGAGGAGAACAAAACAATAGGGAAAATGTCCATTTTCCCTAAAATATCTTTGAGACTTGAGGTTGAAAAGTATCTTAAAGAGGGTTTTATGAATAAGGAGGTAGGTAAAATAAGCCTGTTAGACGATATTTGCAAGTTTTCGAATGTTTACACACGCTGGAGAAATGGGAAAAAAAACCTAAAGCGAGACCTAATCTTTACACCATTGTTTACCACTCTTTTTTTCCGAATGTAAAAACTGCCCGTATCTTCCCGCGGGTATTTAATGTTTGCGAGGTAAGAGGTGAATGAGGTCTACGTTTCAACACTTAACGAATGTGAAAGAAGGGAAGGGAAAAGACCGGTTATGTGTGTGGCAGTAGGCATGGCACTGAAGGGGTTACAAGAATGAGGGAAAAAGATTCCTGTTCTCGAGAATTTAAGTCCAGTGGAGAAGATACACCCGTGTTCTTAAAGCGCTTGCTGTGGCATTCAGGTGAAAGGGATACTGTAATGTGTTAATGCCTCTTAAATGCCACTAGTTGTGCTAGGTGATTTGCAGACTTTACATCTTAATATTAGCAATCTCTCTCTCTCTTTCTTTTTTTTTTGGTAGACATTTCTTCTCCGTTTTAATAGGTGAGAGAGCCGAGGGTCCAAAGAGTCCTGTAGCTGACCCAAAATGACACCGCTATCAAGTAATAGGGACTGAAATCTGAAGCTGAAGAGCTCAGGTATAATGAAAAAATACAGATTTGGAATCCCAGGTCCTTGATTTGTGTCCCTGTGCTTTGAGTAAATTATTTCATACCATTTAACCTTAATTTCCTTTTCTGTGGAAACTGAGGATGTTAAAAGTATTTACCTTACGAGGTTATTTTAAAGTATTAACCTAAGTGAATGCAGTTGGTGTTGTTCTGGCACATTAGTCCTCAACAAATACTCATTCCACGTGCTATTAGCAGTGTCTAGCACAGAAGTCCTCAGTGTATGTTATCTTTGATTGCAAGCTTGTGCTCTTTACATTTTACTATCCTGCCTCTAGGCAACTTTGTATTTTCTAAATCTTTGCTTTTCTTATTCAAAGTAAAGTTTTAAGACTTAAATGTTATTTGTGTATGAAGCTATTACTGAAGCTATGACTTTTTAGGTTTGATTTCTACATTTTATTTCCAAAGATTACATTAAGGGATTATAGAGTATGGAAAGAGAAAATATCTTCTCTTGATTTCAAAGAACTAAACATATAAGCATATTAAGAGAAAGAGAGGCATTCAGCAATTTTTCTCAATACTTTTTAGAATGGTAAATATTGTGTTACAAAACAAGATCCAAATGTCTGTCTTTGACACCATCTCTGCCTCAAACCCACTAACTGTAAATGATTTTACAAAAAAGCCGTTCCTTTGTAAAAGTATCAGAGGTAAAGATATATTCAGTTTTTAATAAAAACAAACTAAACTTGAGAAAGTACTAATACTTTGAGGCTGGTGGATTAGTAGGCTGGCAGGTGGTTTATGAAGATGCTGTGAGGCAGGGTACAGTCAAAGATGACAAAAATGGGAAAATATGTGTCTCAAAGCTTCAGTTAATCACAGGGGGACTTGGTTTTTTGTCTTTAAACTTCCACTTCTGACAGGCTATCTTTGCTACCTGTCTTTTTGGATGATATTTGTTACATTTAAAAATACCATATTAAAAAGCTGATGTGGATGACCTTTGGATGACAGTATCAGTGTTACTTATTCAAATATTGGTGTTTTAAAAGGCTGCTAATGAATTTGTTCTAGGTATGAGGCTAGCAAGTAAATAGCTGTACAAAACGATATTTGATCATGAATTTATATGAATAAGCATAGCAGACATTAATATGTTCAAAATGTTAATAATGCTTTGAAGTTGAGGCAGTGTTTTTTCCAAGCCCTTTATGTTGGGCATTTTGTTAGGTGTTTATTACCACAATTAAACTCCAAAACCCTGTGAAGTATTACATTCTGTTAGTGTTATTAACACACGAAACAATATAGCAAAATGAAGTGGAACTGAACAATTGCTGAAAGATGTTTCATTAGAACAAAAGTGTGTGCATAATGTGCTTAATATTTTTAGTTAATGTTTCAATGTCATTATAAAAATTGACTTGTTGGGGCGCCTGGGTGGCTTAGTCGTTAAGTGTCTGCCTTTGGCTCGGGTCATGGTCCCAGGGTCCTGGGATCGAGCCCCACATCGGGCTCCCTGCCCTGCGGGAAGCCTGCTTCTCCCTCTCCCACTCCCCCTGCTTGTGTTCCTTCTCTCGCTGTGTCTCTCTCTGTCAAATAAATAAAAAATCTTTAAAATAAAAAAAAACCATTAACTTGTTTTCCTGTTTTCAGGTTGTATCTGCTTTTGGGAAACAAGAAGCAGAAAGGAAATTTGAAACTCTGTTAAATCACTTGTCACATCCTCCATCATTCACAACTGTCAGAGTAAATACACATCTAGCCTCAGTGCAACATGTGAAAGATCTGTTGTTTGATGAACTTCAGAAGGTATGTGCAAATTTGCTATTATTTATGTCCATAATTGCATTTCTATGTCATGTTGCTCCCCACTAAAATCCTATGAATTTAAAATACTATTCCAATTTTACTAATAAGGAAATCGAAGATCTCGAATTAAGTTGTCCAAGTGGTAATGTTAGAGGTAATGTTAAGAACTTGAACCTAGCACTCCTGATTCTGAATTTATTATAGTGACTGAATAGGTCACTCAGCCCTCCTGGGCCTCAGTTACTTCATCATTAAAATACATATGAAAATACATAGAATACATATGAAAATACATAGAAAACATTCTAACCTTGAAAGCCTGATTTTTGTAATAAGTTACCTAATTAGTATCTAAATTAAAAAGCAAGAGGCAAGCATGATTAAAGGGCTTGTATTTGTATATTATAGGCTGTGTTACTCTTGATACTAAGAAATCTTCAGAGAATTATCACTGGTTTAGTTTTATTTATTCTTTAATCTCATTACATTTATTTTTATTTATATTTTTGTTTAAGAATTTTATTTGTTTATTTGGGGGAGAGAGAGAGCACGCATCTATGAGTTGAGGGGGGCAGCAGGGAGGAGCAGAGGGAGAGGGATAAGCAGGCTCCATGCTTAGTGTGGAGCCTGAGGCAGGGCTTGATCTTACGACCCTGAGATCATGACCTGAGCCAAAATCAAGAGTTGGATGCTTAACCAACTGAGCCACCCACGTGCCTTTAATCTTATTACATTTATAGAATGTTTGTCATACTATCTTTAAGAAGTTTTATAAATTTTAAGTTGTGAGTAGATGACCATGTTATAAGAATGATCAGCTATGGTATCTGAGTATGTGAGACCCAAATTTAGTATAATAATAAGACTTAGAAGAAAACTAATCTGATTTTGAATAATTGATAGTGATAATTTTATTGAGAGTAATGTCAAGGCATAAAATATAAGCTGTTCCTCTAGGCAACTAAAATTATTTTATGTGGTTATGCATATGTTCTCAACTAGTAGAAAGAGTGTTCTGAGGCCTGTCACAAGTGTCCATAACTCACGCAGATCCAGATTATTTTGTTTTCTAACACATTATTCCTAGAACCTAGATATTGTATTCCAGTCTAATGGGCCTATATGATCTTACAGACAGGTATCTAGGATAAGGCATACAGAATCACTCTGGGTGGACTTTGAGTCCCTCAAAGGTTAAGAGTAGACAGAGAAGGTTGGGTCGTAAGCCCTCGATAGGCAGAGCAGGGAGCCTGATGCGGGGCACGATCCCCATGACCTGAGCCGAAGGCAGACGCTTAACTGATTGAGCCACTCAGGCACCCTTACTTACATTTCAGATTTCTTAGTAGCCATCTATTAGGTAAGGTGGGTCTGAAATCTCCTTTGCCTGGAAGAAGCAAAAGTCAGAGCTGTTGACTTGGTAGATATATAGATTGCTAAAGTACAAATTTTTTCTCTTATCAACTTGGAAATAAATTGACTTTAAGAGTTTTTCTAGGTAGTGTATGGATACCACAGGGCAATGGAAATATCTATTATTGTTACTGTTCTTTCATGTAGTATGTGAAAATTCATGAGTTAAAATCCCTAGCCTACGTGGCAGAGACTTGTTCTGAAATATTTGCATGTTGCTCGCCCTTAGACTATAGTGTCCTTGCTATCCATTCCACTATTCTGCTTTTTATTCTGATAAGTGCAGTGCCCAGTTATTTTCTGCCAGCAACAGTGGTGTGCTGGTACATATCGAAAAATCGACTTTCTGGGAAAAACAACCCTTTGTAGCATTTGCTGATTTCAGTGGTGTAAATACTCCCACTGTGGTCAAATCAAGCTGCCAGTGTGACCTTGAAATTGGCCAGAGATGCACATAATTGGTTCTCCTGAGACTGTGTGAGCTGGCCTTGGCACCTATACTCCTGGTCATGCACCCATTTCTAGTCTGAAGACCAAGTATGATAGAGGATACTGAAAATCCTGAACTTTTGCCAAAAAGCATTTATTTCCCTCAGCAAAACTGACATGGCATTCAGTATTAGTGGTATATAATAGTTTTTAATAATCTCAATCCTTAATGTCCTATTCAGAACTTTTCCTTAGAAGTGTACTATAAGGGGGCGCCTGGGTGGCTCAGTCCTTGGGTGTCTGCCTTCGGCTCAGGTCATGATCCCAGGGTCCTGGGATCGAGCCCCACGTCAGGCTTCCTGCTCAGCGGGAAGCCTGCTTTTCCCTCTCCCAGTCCCCCTGCTTGTGTTCCCTCTCTTGCTGTGTCTCTCTCTGTCAAATAAATAAAATCTTTAAAAAAAAAAAAAAAAAATGTACTGTAGGGGCGCCTGGGTGGCTCAGTCGTTAAGCTGCTGCCTTCGGCTCAGGGCGTGATCCCAGGGTTCTGGGATCGAGCCCCGCGTCGGGCTCCCTGCTCAGCGGGAAGCCAGCTTCTCCTTCTCTCACTCCCCCTGCTTGTGTTCCCTCTCTAGCCGGCTGTCTCTCTCTGTCAAATAAATAAAATCTTAAAAAAAAAAAAAAGTACTATATGCAATTCTGTATTGGATATGTATTATCAAAATAAGTCACTTAAGGTAAACATGGGTTGTCTTTTATAAAGCCAAACTGTAAACAAAATTGAACCTTATAAAGAAATTGAGATACTTCAGAAAATACAGAGGAAAACATAATTGTTTTGAAATCTTTGTTTTTTATAGTATTATGTGGAATAAAGTGAGAATATCCTAAACCAAGCTTCATGCTCTGCTAGGTAATGACAATGAAAAGACCTGTAAATTGAAATTTATCAGTTACATTGATGGCTTCATAATTCTGTTTATTTTTAACAGCAGTTTAATGGATTAAGTGTTCCTATTCTTCAACATCCAGACCTTCAGGATGTCTTACTTATTCCTGTTATTGGACCTAGGTTTGTGACTATTTCATTTTCAAATTAAATTCTTCTAAAAATTTGTCACAGGTTTTTTTCTTACTGTTTGGTGATAATCCTAAGTTTCTCTATTATTAGCAACTTCATATAGACAGTTCACAAATTCATAAATGCAACTTCATATTCTATCATGGAAGATATTACAAGACTAGGAATGGACCCAGGTTCCTTGAAAGTAATGCATTTTAAGGTCCATTTGGTGTGGTGATTGGTGGTTCTTCCTCCTACTTAGTAAGAAACTTCATTTGTTTATATGTATTAAGAGATTCCACTGCTAATTTAAATTTGTTTTTGAGCTGCCACAAAAAATACAAAGTAACATATTTCCTACTTTCATAGCTGATGTGTTTGTAAAATTTTATTAATTCATAGTTATGTTAAATTACTATGTATATTCTATGAGTAGAACAGGCATTGTTCTCATTTATGTATTTGTAAGGCATATGTTTGAAAATTGGAGGTGGGGAAGGCCTTTATATTTTAATGGAGTTCAATTCCCAAGGAATATTTTTAAATCCCTAATTACGGTTTAATTTTTTTTATGCCCCTATGAATTATAATAAATAGAAAAATGCTCATTTTGTTAAAGCTTGAAAATTAGTGGTCAGTAGTAAAGCAGTGGTTCAGTAAATTATGGTTTATTGTGCAGTGGAATATTATATGGGCTTTAATGGGAGAGAATTATATGTACCAATAAGAGAAGATAGTCATAATTAAGTATCAAAAGGAGGTTGCCATGTATAGGATAATTACACTTTTTGTTGCAATTACAAAAAACAACTACACATTTATGTATATTTACTTATATATAGAAAAAAGCCCAAGAGCTTTTTTTTTTTAAGATTTTATTTATTTATTTGAGAGAGAGAATGAGAGATAGAAAGCATGAGAGGGAAGAGGGTCAGAGGGAGAAGCAGACTCCCCGCCGAGCAGGGAGCCCGATGCGGGACTCGATCCTGGGACTCCAGGATCATGACCTGAGCTGAAGGCAGTTGCTTAACCAACTGAGCCACCCAGGTGCCCCAGAAAAAAGCCCAAAAGCTTTAACATACCTAACTATTAATAGAGGTTAATTTTGAGTGGTTAACTCTGAAGAGGTTGGATTGGGAGAAAAGGGGTAAGAGATTTTCACTTGTAACATCTGTGTTATTTTTACTATAAGCATGTATTCCTTTTGCAATTAAGAAAAAGGATTTTGTGAGTTCCTTATTCTGTTTCTTAAGATGAAATTTTATTTTTTTAAAGATTTTATTTATTTGACAGACAGCGAGAGAGGGAACACAAGCAGGGGGAGTGGGAGAGGGAGGAGCAGGCTTCCTGTGGAGCGGGGAGCCCATGTGGAGCTCAATCCCAGGACCCTGGGATCATGACCTGAGCCGAAGGCAGACGCTTAACGAATGAGCCACCCAGGCGCCCTTATTTCATTCTTTTTAATATCTGCATACTTTTTAAACATTTTTTCATCACTCGATGGACGTTTAATTTTTTCCTGTTTTTCATTATTACCAACAGTGAATATTCTAAGGATGTTTCTTTGTGAACTTGCATAAGCATGTCTACAGGATAAATTGGTACAACATGGAATCACTGGTTCACTGGTCTGTGCATATTTTAGTTTGAGACATATTGCCTTCTAAAAAGTTTTACCAGTTAATGTTTCTAGCAATATATGAGAAATTCTCAATCTTTCATTCTTGCTAATACTGGCCATGCTAGCCCTTTTAAAGTATTTAGATGATTTAACTGTAATTATTTTCTGAATTTAATACCCTTTCATCCTATTCTTTGTAGTGATCTAGACACTCATTAGAATGTTAGTGAACTATAAAACACAAATGATGGGATATGAGAGGAAAGTATTAAAAAATCATCTAGGATTATAGATTCACCTACCTACCTTTCACTTCTAAAAGGAGCAAGTCAATTCTTTTTTGTTTTTAAAACTCGTTATCACTATTGTTATTTTTATGACTTTCCACTATGAAAAATGAGGAAATACTTACTTAAATTTTATCTCCTAAAACCTCCACCAGCCAGTTTTTTACTGTGTTAGTTCTTTAAGCATTGCACAGGCTTATAACATTGTTATTCTAGAAGCACAATTCAAATGGATGCTGTGCTTGCTTCTAGTCCCAGTAGTTCCCATTCCTGAGTTCTTTGTCTTGATTACTGTCTTGGTTGGTGAGTATAGTAATTTATCAGGTCTGCAGCACCTGTTTCCCGTTCCAAAGTATTTGCTTTCTTGCTGGAGAATTGCCTGTTGCCTTTATATTTAAACAATAGATTGGCCGATTATAGTACTTTCAGGTTCCATGTTATCTCCCTTAGCACTTTGTAGACCTTGCTTTCACAATGTTATGGCATCAGGTGTTGCTGTGAAGAAAAAAATCAGAGGCCCCCCGCCAACAGCATCTTAGTTTTTGCTTGGAGATCTACAAATTCGCCATCATTTAACTTGAGAAACTGGGCTAAGATATAGCTTGATTATGACCATTCTCTCTTACTTTTTAATGAAACAGTGTAACTTTTTAGTTAAAAGTCAGCCAGTATTTGTGACTATTTTTCTGTATTCTCTATAAGAACACTAGAGGGCGTCTGGGTGGCTCAGTAGGTTAAGTGTCTCTGCCTCCAGCTCAGGTCTGGGATCATGCCCCGTGAGGCCCCCGTCAACCTCTTTGCTCAGTGGGCAGTCTGCTTCTCCTTCTCCCTTTGCCCCTCCCCCTGTGCTCACGTGCTCCCTCTCTCTGTCTCTCTCTCTCTCAAATGAATAAATAAAATCTTAAAAAAGTAACCACTAGGACTATAGGTTGGATTTCCAGTGCAGGTACCCCCTGTGTTGGTGATTGACTAGAAGGACTCACAGGACTCATCACGTAGTTGTGCTCCTGGTGAAGATTTATTATAGGAAAGGACACAAAACAAAATCTGCAAAGGGAAGGGTACATGGGGCAAAGTCTGGAGGAAGCCAGGCACAAGCTTCCAAGAGACCTCTCCCCCACAGAGTTCCTAGGTTATGCTTAATTCCTCTAGCAACAAATTGTGACGAGAGTGAAATAGTTGTCTAGGAGGGAAGCTCGTTCGAGACTCAGTGGCCAAGTTTTTTTTATCGGGCGCTGGTCATGTTGGCACCCTCTGGCCGGCATGTACCAAAATTTCAGGCTCCCAAAAGGAAAACAGGTGTTCAGAACAAAGCACATTGCTTGTACAAACATTTAGGAACAATACTCTTATCATTATGGAAGTTTTTCAGTCAGTGCTGGGAAGTGTTTCCCAGTCATGTTTCCAGATGCCAGCCAAGGGTTGACCTTGCAAGCAGGCCTTTCTAAAAATAGCAGTCTCAAGCCTGTTGTGTTTTCTCTTATTTTGGAGGCTCTCTTACTGTTTATTTCCCAGTTCACTACTTTCTGTTTTTTATTTAGTTTTTCTTATATCCCATCTTTGAGTTTTTCCTTTTCCTTTTGAAAAATATAAAGACGTATTTGAAATTTTTTTCCTTGGTTTTTTTTTTTTTTTTTTTGCTACTACCTATGTATAGGTCCCATGTTGAATGAATCCTTTCTGCTTCTATAACTCACTGAATGGAAACAGTTGCATTCACATAGCTTCTAGTTTGCAGTTTGCTCAAAAATGATGTAGAATGGGGTAAAGTGTGTCTCTAGACACCTAAACAGATGTGTTTTTCAAAAATGCTTTCACCAGGTTTTCCCTAGTGGCACATTTCTAGCCCTGGTGAGCAGAGCTGATAAAGACTGAGGCTGTTTGTGAAGGGTTCCAGCTCACAGCTTTTTTTGCATGGGGCTTTAATTATTTCTGCTTAGTTAACTCTGTTGAGCACCAAACTTGGTTGCTACTTCCCTTCCCTTAGCTACTTCTAGGCAGTTTATCCAGATTTGTCAGGGAAAGTGCAATGCCTGCTTTGCCACAGCTGACAACCCTGTTCCTCTTTCAGCTTTATCTGCTGTGAATGAGATTCTCGTTTCTCAACCTGAGCCCCCAGTCTGGGATCTAAGTAATATTTGATTAGGCCTCCAGGAGCTTTTCCTTTTCAGAGACATTCATACCCTGTTGAGGAACTTGGTTTGATCCAAATTTCTCTGTGTCAGACAGTTATTCCTCCTCAGTGGGAATATAGCCATTTCTTAGCTTTATTATAAATGGCATGTCCTTCTCAGATCGTTGTTTCTTTCTTCATTTCTACAGACTTCAGAAAAAGAAATACACTCTTAGTCTTTTACTGATCTTTTACTGGAAACTCAATATCACATAATTATTTAAAATATCAAAATATAGGTTAAACTGTATTTGTAGATAATGAACAATTTTAAAAGTAATTTCTCACGATAAATTCAGGTTCTCTCAGTTTATTTAAATATGATAATATACTGATTAAGTATATATTTAATGTTTTTTAAAGTTTTATCATTGGTAATATAATGAGATGGAACATAAGGTTGTAGTGTTGAATTTGATAGTATCAATGTCAACTTTATTAAAAAACTGAGGAGAAAATTGAATGCCAGGCTTCTTTTGATGAGTGTTTTTTAACATTCTACCCAAACAGCATTTTTTGAAGGCTGATTTTACGTTAGTAGAATTTTTGAAGTCAACATTCAATTCATAATTTTTAAGGATCTCTACATTTTTTTATTAGTGTACCTCCCTTTTTAACAAAAAGTTCAACAAAATATTTTTAACAGGTCAGAAAATTTTCTTCTTTTCCTTCACAATGAATAATGAACCTAGTAGCATAATTCTCTTGAGATCCAAATGAGGCTGGATTCGCGTCTCAGCCTGCTTGATTTCCATCTTTCATAGTTGTCTTGCTAGTACCAGCATTTTAATATTTTAATTGCTGTTTGTGTATATGAAATAATATGGTAAATGCAATAGAATATTCAAGTAATTGCACAAAAATGGATGATTAAGTACAGATGGCAATCGTGCTGAAAAAGAAGTATTTGTTGGCATGCAATAATATATAACATCTTAAAATTATAATCATTATGTCCTATTTGGTGTGGAGTTGCTAATATGCGCAGTTAAATGCCAAAGGAGGGGTGCCTGGGTTGCTCAGTCGGTTAAGCGTGTGCCTTCAGCTCGGGTCATGATCCTGGGGTCCTGGGATTGAGCCCCGCATTGGGCTTCTTCCTCAGCGGGGAGTCTGCTTCTCCCTCTTCCTCTGCCCCGCGTGCTCTCTCTCTCTCTCTCTCTCTCTCTCTCATGCTGTCTGTTTCAAATAAAATCCTAAAAAAAAAAAAAAAAAACCACTGCCAAATGAACAAATTCATATTTTTATATATATTTTAGTGGGACATTCTCATAATTCCACTCTTTTTAATTGATAGACACCTCATTTTTAAAGCTATTTTACTAGTTTTTTCTTAACCTGAGTACCTTCGTACTATTTTCCCTCCTATCTGTATTACTGTACTATCAGAAAATCCTTTCTTTAATGTTGTTGATTCAGTTCTTTATTTGTAAATATTATAATAAAAAATTAAGCTTTTAGGGTGCCTGGGTGGCTCAGTCATTAAGTGTCTGCCTTGGCTCAGGTCGTGATCCCAGAGTCCTGGGATCGAGCCCCACATCGGGCTCCCTTCTTGGCGGGGAGCCTGCTTCTCCCTCTCCCACTCTCCCTGCTTGTGTTCCCTCTCTCGCTGTGTCTCTCTCTGTCAAATAAATAAATAAAATCTTTAAAAAAAAATTAAGCTTTTAGCATGTATTATGGCCCTGCATCAACTCTTATATTTCCTTTTATCTTTACTGCCTCAAACTCTCCCCTTTAGCAAAGCTGAATTACACCTTGATACTTGCATATATGGCATCTTATGTTTTTATACAATTAGTCCTAGTGTTGTGGGATCCCCAAGACCACTCCCTGGCTTGATGACTCTAGGATGACTCATAGGATTCAGCATATAGTAGTACTTGTGACTATGACTTGTTCCAGTGAAGTAATCTGAAGCAGAATCAGCAAAGGGAGGGGGCACATGGGAAAAAGTACAGGGGAAACCAGTTGAAAGCTTACAGAATTCTCTTCCAATGGAGTCACACAGGAAACGATTCCCTCAGGAACAGGTTTGACAACATGTAAGATGTTGTCAACCAGGGAAATTCATTAGCGACTCAGTGTCCAGGATTTTTATTTGGATCGGTCAGGTAGGCACTCCCTGCCCGGCACATGCCCACATTCTGGCCTCTCAGAAGGAAAGTCATTGTTGGCCATAAACCATATGATTTGTACAGATGATTTAAGCTTAGTGAGCTATTTTTATCAGTTAATAGCAGGTATCCTTCTGAAATCTAAGTTCCCAGATGGCAGCCAAGGACCAACCTTGTAACCATGCTGTCCAAAGAAAGGATAGTAATTCAAGACTCTTATGTTAACTCTTTTTTTCCATAGTCTTTCTGTCCTCTCCGTGAAATGGTTATTCCCATAAAAACATTCTGATTAAAACTACAAGGTTCCATTTCCCAAGACGTTTTTGAATTGGTGCTTTGTGTAAGACCCAAGGGTGTTACAAAGATGAATGAAATGCAGTTGATTCATTTAAAAATGGGAAACCTTCTGAGTCAGACTGGTGAAAGTGCTACGGTGAAGGTATTAATGAAGTACAATCAGAGCACAGAATAGGAAGGACTGAGTGAAAGGAAGTTGGTAAAGATTTTCTTCAAGTAGATAATATTTCAGTTGAGCCTTGAAGGTGATTAGGCATTAGGCTGATGGGGTAAGATGGTCAAGGGTATGTGAGGTGGAGAGAAAGCAAAAGTATGGAGGCATGAAAATGTAAGGTGGCTCATGACAAAGTGATCAGGTTTGGCTACTTGCTTTTTCAGAGAGGGTGGTGAAACATGACATTGAAGAAGTTGGGAGAGGCCAGCTGTGAAGTGTAAAAGATTTTTTTTTTTAACTAAGGAATGTTTAGTTTTTTGCTTAGAACCAAAGAATAGGAGCCAAAGAATACTGGTAGTAGCATAAAGCTATTTTTCCAACTGCATGGAGATCATGATCCATTAGTAGGTTGTAAAATCAATTTAATGTCTTTTTTTAGCATTTTTAAAAAAATGGGTATTTCATAATGTATCATATTGCACTGCACATACTGAAGGTGTTTCATGAAACATTTGATGTAAATATAAGTGTGTATAGACACATAACATACACACATGTGTCCGGAGTTGTGATATTAAGTGCATTTCTGTGGGTTAGAGTCCAAAAAGTTTGAAAAAAATTTTAAAAGATAAATTCTAAGACTAGAAACAAATTAGGAAATCATTTCAGAGTGTTTTATTTCCAACAGTGTGGTGCTCTAGATAACCTGAAAATGTTTCTGCTGCAGACATCTAGGAATACTAAATAGAAAATAAGGCCGTAAAATGCACAACTGAGTGATTGAGAATATAAGTGAGATATTTAGGGGTTAGAATGAAGAGTAACTGAAAACAGAGCTAATATTTGGGGGTTGGGAGATGTGGGAGAGGAGGTGGTCGGTCTTCTAAATTTAGAGGTTTTCCTTTTATTTATTTATTTTTTAAGATTTTATTTATTTTTTGACAGACAGCAAGAGAGGGAACACAAGGAGGGGGAATGGGAGAGGGAGAAGCAGTCTTTCCGCTGAGCAGGGAGCCTGATGCAGGGCTCAATCCCAGGACTCTGGGATCATGACCTGAGCCAAAGGCAGACGCTTAACGACTGAGCCATCCAGGCGCCCCCTAGTGGCTTTCCTTTTAATGTAGGAAATAACAGGGTATGAACACTAGGAGGTGAGAGATATCCAGCAGTCAGTGCAAGGCAATAATTAAGGAGTTGGGAGTTCTCTTATCTTTTTTCAAATTTTATTTTATTATTATCTATTTTTATTAGAGAATGCACAAGTTGCGGGGGGGGGGACAGAGGGGGAAGAAGAAGCAGATTCCCTGCTGAGCAGGGAGCCTGACGCGGGGCTCGATCCCTGAGATCATGACCCGAGCTGAAGGCAGCCGCTTAACCGACTGAGCCACCCAGGCGCCCTTGGATCTCTCTTGTCTTAGAGTCTGGGTAGAAGAAAACAAATCTGTGAATGTGGAACTGTGGTTCCATACCTCATAAAGGTTTGGAATTCAGATTCATGCTACCCAAAGTGGTCAAACATGAGAATATACAGATTGTTTTGTAAGTGATTATTGAAAGCCTGAGGTCGCCAAGAGTAGAATGCAAGGTGAGAAGAGATGCAGCATGTTTTGGAACATGGGAGAATGGACCTTTTTAAGAAGTAGATAGGGAATGAGCAGCGAGAACGTGAGAGACAAACAAGTGGTACAAAACTGAGAAGCTCAGTGAGATAGGACTATCTGGAGATCACCGAAGGAAGATATGACACACTCTGTTCCCGCAGCAAGGAGTTGTGACAACACATGTGAGATGTTGCCAACCACGAACATGCATGAGGGACTCAGTGCTTAAGGTCTTTATTTAGGGTTGATCACATAGGCACCCCCTGACTTTTGAAAAAGTCTTTCTGTGTATTAGAAGTGATACTCAGTTGTTAGTGGTCTAAGGAATGAATGGAAGGTGAGAAATTGGAAGACACTCAAAAAAGTTGGACAGTAAAGGAAGAGTAAAAGACATCTTCGTCTGGTTGAAATATGAATAGTTGAGAGACTCTGGACTCTCCGGGAACCAAACTGAGGGTTATAGAAGGGAGTGGGGTGGGGCCATTGGGTAACCGGGTGATGGGTATTAAGAAGGGCACGTGTGGTGATGACCACTGGGTGTTATTGAACATAATAAAAAAAGTAATTAAAAAATTAAAAAAAATATGAATAGTTGACCACACAGCAATATACCATTGTAGAGATGCTTTTGAATTCCTTATATATTGTCTGTTTTGGTCTTTGAAGGTAAGGACTTTATTTTTCTTCCTTCTAATGCTGTTACGGAAACAGCAGTGCTCTTTAAATGATTAAGCAGTTTTTGGTACTACTTTATTGCCTTCTACCAGATAGACCTCTTTCTGTTTTCTTTTCCTCAAGTGTGCCCCATCCCCCTCTCTAAACTACTTCCTCTATATTTATCCTTCTTTTTTTCTGCTTGCTTTTTCTTATTTATTCATTCGTTGGCATTATCTTAGGACAGTCAGGAGAAAAGAGGTTATTTAGGGTTTGGATTGAAACATTAAAAAGTTTGGTAGGGGTTGGAGGTGTATTACTCTGTTAAAATTGTTCATCTTCTATCCCTAGGAAGAATATAAAAAAACAACATTGTGAAGCAATTGTTGGAGCACAATGTGGCAATGCGGTGTTAAGAGGAGCCCATGTCTATGTTCCAGGAATTGTGTCAGCTTCAAAATGTAAGTATAATGTTTTAGCCTCTCTGTACAAGAAAAGATTCTTTAAAATCTGTACATTATCAAGTGGAAAATACCATTTTCAATATCAAAAAACTATCATTCAGATGTATTTCAAATTTACTTTTATCAGATAATTTTTCAAGTTTTACATTTGGGATAGCCAGAAAGAGGTTTATCTGATATGGTCTCACAAATTGGGCATCCATATATGGTTTTTTTTTTTGCCAGTTTTTTTCTTTCCATAAAAGAGTATGTGAGAGTTGGGCGCCTGGGTGGCTCAGTTGGTTAAGCGTCTGCCTTCAGCTCAGGTCATGATCCTGGAGTCTTGGGATCGAGTCCCACATTGGGCTCCCTGCTCAGCAGGGAGTCTGCTTCTCCCTCTGACCCTCTTCCCTCTTGTGCTCTCTATCTCTCATTCTCTCTCTCAAATAAATAAATAAAATCTTAAAAAAAAAGAGTATGTGAGATGATGTTTAGAGGATCATTACTGATCAATAGAGTGTAAGATGTCAGTGAAATTTTATTTTGTATTCTTAACTCCATTGCCCTCAGATTTCTGTTGTCATTTGTGAGGGTAACCTTCAGAACTTGGGATCTTAATATTGAAATAAAAGCCAGTATTCTTCATTTACTCACTCAGTTGATGGCATATGCTTAATAAGTTAGTCACTGTGGTTCAGTCTTAATTTATTGGGCTTGAAATCAAGACACATGGGTTTTGCTCTATTGGGAAGTTATTCAGCTGTGGGCTTCAGTTACGTTATCTGTGAAATAATTTGACGTGCATTCGGGTGTGCTAACTGCCCGCTGGTCAAATCTGGCCTATGTCTGTTTTTGTGTGGCTCACAGCTGAAAATGTTTTTTCCATTTTTAAAAGCTTGTTTAAAAAAATACAAAGAAGAATATGCCAACAGACCTTATATGCTCAGAAAGCCTAAGGAATTCACATGCCCTTTATAGGAAAAGTTCTTTGACCTCTGATCTATGCGATTTGAACAGTCCTTCTAGCTCTAGTTGATAGACTGCTCACTACTGTTATCAAGTTAATGGGCTAGACAAATTTATGACAGGCTAGGTCTAAGAACATGAAAGTGGAATAGTTTCCTATTATTAAAGTCACTGGGATTGGTTACTGGAAATAATTTAATGAAATGGCTACAAAAACCTAGACTTAATCAGCTGTAAGAATCAACTCCATACACTGTGTATATATGCATATATATACATAGGTACATGTGCGTATGTATACACACGTTCATGTATATACATACACATACATGAATGAATGTACTTACTAAAATCTCTGTCTTAATTGCTATAATAGGAAACCTGCAAAGAAATAACAAGTGTTAGGCAATTTAGAAACATTTCTTTGAGGGATTTTAGTGTACATTTTTGATGAATCTTTTTAAGGGAAACTTAGAACTTTGAGGATTGAGCCAAAGATACCAAAATTTATATGAAGTTGTTTAGGGAATGTTAGGTTTGGAAGAAATAAATAGGAGTTATCCTTCATTTTCTGCTTAGCTAAAGAGTTCCAGTTTAGATAGGATGTTTTGAAGATTTGTATTTTTTTGTTCTAGAAAAAAAGTCTTCAGTTAGATATATTGTGATGGAACATTTAAAAGTAAAAAGTCATATTTTCTATAAGGGGTTCTTTTGAGATAATGAGCCAGTTTAGACCTCTTCATGCCCACAATTGATGCCCTTAGATGTCCCTAGTCTAGCTTAAAGAATTTTCACTATTCTTATACCAAAATATAGTCTAATAAGTATAATCTGATTTTCTTCTTTCTTAGTTATGAAAGCTGGAGATGTTATTTCTGTATACTCTGATATTAAAGGCAAATGTAAGAAAGGAGCCAAAGAATTTGATGGAACAAAAGTATTTCTTGGAAATGGGATTTCTGAACTAAGCCGCAAAGAAATCTTCAGTGGGCTACCTGAACTGAAGTATGTCATCAAGTGTTTGGAGGAAATATGCATTCTTTTTGATGGTTCAAGGAAAATAAAAACAATGTAAAAAAATATATCTAGTTGCATTATAAAAATATTTTCTTGGGGTATAAATTTGACTGGAAAATAATTGTTCAATGCATATTTCCATGCTTTTTTGAAAAATTGCTTTTGGGTAGAAGAGTAAATGCTTAGATTAAAGGGCCCACCTACATAAGCAAGCAGTCATGCTGTAATTGTTAGTTTCAGTTTTCCTTTTGAATTTTATTGATTTATTGATTTGAAAATTTTTGCACCTTTTGGGGATTTGCATCTTGATAAAGGATGAATTATGTGACTTAATCCAGAACTATTTAAACAGTCTGATTTTTGTGAAACAAAAAGCTTATGATTTTAATATAAATTAAAAAGAAAAGTTTTATTAAGAAATTTTTTTACCAGAAAGCCAGCAATCACATGGCTACTTGTGGTCAAGATTTGATACTTGGATCTGGGGTGCCTGGGTAGCTCAGTCTGTTGAGCGTCCAACTCTTGATTTCAGCTCAGGTCATGATCTCAGGGTCATGGGATTGGTCCCCATGTCAGGCTCCGTGCTCAGTGTGGAGTCTGCTGGAGATCCTCTCTCTCTGCCCCTTCCCTGGTTCGTGCTCGCAAGTGCTCTCACATCTTAAAAAAAAAAAATAAATAATAACATTTGGATTCACTCAAACCAAATTAAAAAGTTTTTAATCATCTTGTGTTGCTACTGACTCTAAATAAATTAAATCTGTGGGCAGTCCAGAATCATTTTGCTTCATATTTTCAGCCTATTTAAGGAGTTCTGTGGACAACTCCATTACTCCACAGTTGACAGCTGATGTAGACATGCCGAAAACTGAATTTGTGGTTATACAAAGTTGTTACAATACTATTAACTATATTCCTCATATTGTACCTTAACATCCCATGTTTTATTGATAATTTATTTCATCTTCTTTATAATTTATTTAATCCCCATAACTCATTTATAACTGGAAAGTTAACCTTTTTCACTTTATTCATTACCCTTATCCCCTTCTCTATGGCATCCATCAAATCTCTATGTTTCTGTTTCTGTTTTGTTTTGTTTGTTCATTTGTTTTTTAGATTCCACATACAAGTTAAATCATACGGTATTTGTCTGACTTATTTCACTTAGCATAATACCTTCTGGGGCTGTCTTTGTTGTCATGAATGGCAAGATTTCATTCTTTTTATGACTGAGTAATATTCCCCCCCCATCCCTCCCCCCCCTTAATCCATTCATTTATCATAAGTGGACAGTTTTCTTCCTGTGATGGATTTCTACTTTCTTATAATTGATTTCTAGTTTCATACTGTTGTGATAGGAAGAAAAGCTTGATATGATTTCAGTCTTGTTAATTTATTGAGATTTCTTTTGTGGCCCAACATGATCTATCCAGGAAAATGTTAAAGGTACATTTGAGAAGACTGCTGTTTGGGGATGGAATATTCTGTATGTATCAAGTCCATGTGGTTTGATGTGGTGTTTGCTGTTATTACATTATTTTCTGTCTGGATGATCTATCCACTGATGTAAATATGGTGTTAAAGTCCCTTGCTGTTATTACTATTATAATGATTCTCTTTATGATTATTTAATATCCTTCTTTGTCTCTTATTACAGCCTTTGTTTTAAAGTCTGTTTTGTGTCCTACGTTTATTGCTACCCCTGCTTTCTTTTTGTTTTCATTTGCGTGGAATATTTTTTTGTAGCCCTGTACTTTCAGTCTGTATTTGTCTTTGGGTCTGAAGTGAGTCTCTTGTAGTCAGCTTATAGATGGGTCTTGTTTTTTATCCATTCATTCATGCTATGTGTTTTGCTTGGATTGTTTAGTCCACTTTCATTTAAAGTAATTATCTATACATGTGTACTTATTGCCGTTTTGTTGTTTTCTGATTGTTTTTGTAATTCTTTTTCTTCTCTTGGGATTTGATTATTCCAGTGTTAGGCTTGAATTACTTCCTCTTTATTTTTTGTGTACCTATTACAGGTTTTTGGTTTGTGGTAACTGTGAGATTTGTCTATAATAACCTGTGTATATAACAGTATTTCAAGTTGGTGGTTGCTTAAATTCCAAACGTTCCAAAACATTTCTCTCTTCCCTGCAGCATTTTATGTTTATGCCATCATATTTTACATCTTTTTATTTTATGTATTCTTTAATTATTATAGATATAGTTGGTTTTACTACTTTTATCTTTTCACCTTCAGACTAGCTTTGTAAGTTGTTGATCCACTACCTTTACTATATATTTGCCTTTACTAGTGAGATTTTTTTTCTTTCATATATTTTATTTCTAATTATGCCCTTTTCCTTTTTGCTAATAGAAGTCTTTAATACTATAAAACTGGTTCAGGGGTGATGAACTCCTTTAACTTTTGCTTCTCTGGGAAGCTCTTTATCTTCGCCTTCAATTGTGAATGATAACCTTGCTGATATTCTTGATCGTAAGCACTCTGAATGTATTGTGTCGCTCATTCTCTTCTGGCCTGCAAAGTTTATGCTGAGAAATCAGCTGATAGCCTTATGGGGATTCCCTTATATGTAACTAATTTTTTTTCTGCAGCTTTTAAGAGTCTTTGTTTTTTAATTTTTGACATTTTAATTATGATGTATCTTGGTGTGGATTCCTTTGGGTTCATCGTTTTGGGGATTCTCTTTTTCCTAGATCTGGACGTCTGCTTCCTTTGCCAAATGAGGGAAGTTTTCATCTGTTATTTCTCAAATTTTCTGCCACTTTCTCTCTCTCCTCCTTCGGGGACTCCTATAAAGGGAATGTTAGTGCACCTGTTAGCTCACAGGTCCCTTAAACTACCCTCATTTTTAAAATTCCTTTTTCTTTGTTGTTCAGTTTGGGTGATTTTTACTTCCTTGTTTTCCAGATCACTGCTCTGTTCTTCTGTATTACTAATCTGCTGTTTATTCCCTATAGTGTATTTTTATTTCTGTTATTCTTCAGCTCTGATTGGAACTTTTTTATATTTTCTTTTTGTTGAAGTTCTCACTGTTTATCCATTTTTGTCCTGAGTTTGATGAGCAGTTTTATGGCAATCACTTTGGACTTTTTATTGGATAAATTGTTTATTTCCATTTTGTTTAGTTCTTTTTCTGATGTTTTGTGTTACTTTGTTTGGAACATATTCTTCTGTCTCCTCATTATGCCTAACTCTGTGTTTGTTTCTGTGTATTAGGTAGTTCATCTACATCTGGTGTTGAAGGAGTGGCCTTATGTAAGAGATGTCCTAAAGGGCCCAGTAGTGCAATTCTCTTACCCCGGTACCCAGACACAGGTGCTTCAGGCGTGTTCCCTGAATGGGCTTTGTGCGTCAGCCCCTTGGACAGCTGCAGGTGCACTCGGGTGAGGCTGGCTTCCCTCCCCTGCCTGGTTAGCCTATTCCTGATGGCTACAGGTGTGCTGTAGGTAGAGTCCTATAGACTGCAAGGCTCTGCTGAGGGGCAGGGCTGTATGGGGCTCTCAGTGGCGTGTGCACCCTGGCATTTACATTCTAGAGAGAGGATTTCAAAACAGTGTCTATCAGCTCCAGCATCAGCAGGGCAGAACAAGATAGCAAAAATGGCTGTCACCAGTGTCTTACTTCTCAGGGAGATTCCAGCCCCCCCCCGCCCCAGTCCCCTTCAGGAGGTGCTCCAAGATTAGTAAGTAGGCCTATTTTACCTATGGTCTTTGTGCTTTTTTATTTGGCTTTTGATCTTTTTGATACGGTTTTTGATCTGATTTGGAACCATTTGTACTGGTTTCTGGGTTGAGTTTGTGTGCAAGCCCTTTATGAGTGGGGTTTCCTTTCTTTACAGTTTTGTAGTTTTCCTGGACATACTCCCTATTGGTTTTTAAGGCCAGATGTTTTGGAAGCTCATCTCTTCATGAATTATCTAAGGGTTGGGTTGTTGGATGTGGAGTTTGAAACTCCCCTCAGGGAGATAACATTCCTTTGAGGTCTGTTCTGACCATGGAATGTTGCTCCAGGGGTGTGGTTTTTTTCCTTAGCAAGACTGTATCTTTGCCTCTTCCACTCATCTTGATGCTGTCCCTTGTTGTGGGGGCTCTGTTCATCCAGTTTCTAGGTCCGTTCAGTTTGTTGTGTTTGTGGGAGGAGGTGAGCTCAGGATCTTATTATTCTGCCATCTTGAACCCTCTTCCACCCTTCATTCTGTTATATTATTCAATGTAGTATAGTAGTTCCAGTAACTTTGCTGACAGACTTTTCTGAGTAATGTTTGTTGGTAGGAGTAGCAGGCAGCCATCTTTCAAAAAACTGTTGTTTTTTTTAAAACTCAACTTTTAAACTCAGCATTCAGTTATGCTGTTAGGATTTCTTTCTCTGCCTATGTGAGGAAAAGCATACTTCCATAACAAAAATGCTATACATATATCATGTTTCTTATTATAAAATTTTAGAACTATGTCTACCAGTGGTACTTTGTTATTCAACTAGTAAATTTGCACCCTTTGGTTTCTTGAATTACAGTGGACTTCAGTCATAGACTTCATAGAGGTAGATTAATTTACTAACAACCTGTTTATCATAGATCTGGTTCTTTGTGTTACTATATGGAAATACATATTACAAAAACAGTTTTATTTTTTACTTTTTTAAAGGTTTTACTTATATATTTGACAGAGAGAGAGAGAGCTTGGGGAACAGAAGGCAGAGGGAGAGGGAGGAGCAGACTCTCTGATGCGAAGGGACCCTGACGCGGGGCTCTATCCTGGACCCTGGTATCATGACTTGAGCTAAAGGCAGACGCTTGACCAACTAAGCCACCCAGGCACCCCACAAAAACAATTTTAAAAGAAACACGTAGGGGCATCCTGGGAAGCTTGTCCTAGGATTGAGCCCTGCAGCGGGCTGTCTGCTCAGTGGGGAGTCTGCTTCTCCCTCTCCCTCCACCTCTCCCTGCTCAGACTCTCTCTCAAATAAATAAAAATACAATCTTTTTAAAAAATTAAAAAAATTTTGCCCAATTTCCAAAAAAAAAAGTAGTCAAGGGAAAAAAAAAGAAACGTAATCCCATACTGGAACAATAATTGATTTAAATTATTCTTTGTTGAGTTGTTTTAAGTTAAATACTGCAAAGATGGACTACTTGTGCTGGTGGTCAGAAGGAGACAAAGAAATAGCAGAACTTGAAGCACTAGGTAGGAACTAGATTAGACAGGCAGACATATAAATGTTAACGTTTGAGTATTTTTCAGAGGACTAATGTCGTGCAAGTCAGAAAGTCATTTAAATTATGAAAGAGTGAGCAGGTCATGGAATTCAAGGTGTCCAATAATGGGTCTAGACTGGGCAGGGGCTGAGGTGTTGATCAAGGTCAGTGCGCCAGTTGTCTCAACAAATGACTGACTCTTGAATGTGAGGCTTTGACTTTTCAGAAGGTTCCTTTGTATTTTTTCTGGTCAGGGGCAGGAACTGTGTAGGAAATGGTTAGATTTGATCCTGGCTGGAGCAAGGACCAAAGACCAACTGATTGACTAACTCTGATGAACAGATTCAGACATATCAAGTGGCAAACAAGCGAGTGAGGATAAAAGGGATGGGAAGAGGGAGAAAGGAGTTAACGTTTATTGTATGACAAAGGCTGTTAGAACCCATTGGACATCACGGTCATTACCCCTGTAGTTGTAGTCCATGAATAGCTACAGAAATTATTTCACTCTGAAAAGCAGCGTAAACTTACCCTGTTGTGGCATAATAATGATTTGGTCTTTGGGTCCTTGGCCCACAGCTCCCCAAATCCTTGGATTCTCTGCAGAGATGAGTGTCTTTTGTATGCTAATGAGATGACTGGTAGCTCGGGGTCCCTAGATAGCTTCTGCTGGAAGGCACTTGCCAGAGGAACCAACTTTTGTAGTTAGAAGGTTGGAACTTGTGGCTCTACCCCCGGACCTCCAGGGAGGGGAGAGGGCCTGGAAATTCAGTTCATATCCAGTGGCCAGTGATTTAATCAATCAGTCATAAAGACTCCTAAATGATGGGGTTCAGGTTGGTGAATACATCTAGGTGTGGGGAAGGTGGTGAACCATACACCTCTCCCTTACCTCCTCCGGTGTATCTCTCTCCTTCAGCCATTTCTAAGTTGTATCCTCCATAGTAAACCGGTGCCAGTGTTGTTCTGCGTTGTGTGAGTTGTTCTAGGGAATTTTCAAACCTGAAGAGTGCTGTGTGGAAACCCCCAAATTCACAGCCCATTGGTGAGTAGTACAGATGGCAACCCGGATGTGCAGCTGGTGTCTGGAGCGACACCGGTCTTTTTTTTTTTTTTTTTTTTAAAGATTTTATTTATTATTTGACAGAGACACAGCAAGAGAGGGAACACAAGCAGGGGGAGTGGGAGAGGGAGAAGCAGACTCCCTGCTGAGCAGGGAGCCCGATGCGGGGCTCGATCCCAGGACCCTGGGATCATGACCTGAGCCGAAGGCAGACGCTTAATGACTGAGCCACCCAGGCGCCCCAGGAGCGACACCAGTCTTGTTGGATCCAACTGTTGAGCCCGTGGCACCTCACAGTAACCCCCGGCAGGTCATGCCAGGACTGGTGCGAGAAAAAACACCACATATTTGGTGTCAGGAGTGTTGTGAGTAAAATGAGCCCACCTACCTACCTAAAGCTAAGTGCACACCATCCACATAGATGCTTCCCTGCCAACATTGGTTCAGAAACTCTGAACTCATCTCGTGTACTGGACCTGAGGAGTATGTTCTTGTTCTCCCTGCTTAGACTCTATTCCTTGCTTGTGCTCCTGTACCTGGTTTAAATTCAGATTCTTAATCTTGCCTTTATTATTAGAGTGCACTTTTTCTGTGCCCCTCTAATCCCTCCAACATGGTGTTGATTTCCCTTTTCTCTTGCTCTCTGTGGTGTGGCCTGATACACCAGGTAATGTTTGGCTTTCTCCAACAGTATTTGTATGCTTTCTCTTGCCTCTGATGGTCACTGAAAGCCTCTCTCAGATGGCGATGTTTGTCCTAATGAATCATCGTCCACCATGTTCTCCTGGGTCCTGGACATTCCTGCTCTGATCAGTTCCACTGCCGCTTATAACATGGGATAAAGGTAGAAAGCTCATCTTGAGGATTATGTCAGTAGTGGGCAGTTATTCTCTAAAGAGATGAGAGAGTTGTGTGGCATATTTGTGGTTGCTTAGCATCAGCATGATTCTTAAGTATATTTTTATTTTTCATACAAGTACCTAGCATAGTGCCTTGCACACTGAAGCATTCAGAAAATGTTTATTGAATTAAAAGCTGTTAACAATGATCATGAATCTGTTACCGGAAGGATTAGAATGAATCAACAAATAAAGACTCAGATGTTAGTCAGAGAAAGACAAACACCGTATGATCTCATATGTGGAATTTAAGAAACAAAACAAATGGACAAAGGGAAAAAGACAAACCAAAAAACAGACTCTTAACCATAGAGAGCAAACAGATGGTTCCCAGAGGGGAGGTGGGTAGGGGATGGGTGAAATAGGTGAAGGGGATTAAGACTGCACTTATCCTGGGGTACCTGTGTGGTGCTGTCTGTTAAGTATCTGACTCTTGGTTTCAGCTCAGGTCGTGATCTCAGGGTCATGAGATCGAGCCCCATGTCAGGCTCCGCACTCAGTGCTGAGTCTGCTTGCAACTCTCTCCCTTTCCCTCTGCCCCACCCTCTCTCGTGCATGCTCGCTCTCTCTCTAAAATAAATCTTTAAACAAAAAAAGAGTACACTTACCTGATGAGCACTGAGTAACATATAGAAATGTTGAATCAGGATATCATACACCTGAAACTAATATACTGGCATTAAAAATAAATAACTGGCATTAAAAATAAAATAAGAACAAATGCATTATGTTAACATAAATAGCATTTTTAATTAAGTAGCTATGTTGAAAAAAAGACTCATGTTCTTTGCCTTTTTAGTTTGTTCAAATCTCTGAAGAAACTCCTTTGTGCCTAAATGGAAAATTTATGTAACTATCCTTTTTAGTGTTCCTGATGGCCTTCGACTGCAAGGAATAAGTCATAGACAATTCACAGGAATATCCTAAGTATTGTGGTATTGAGTAAAAAAGATTTTAAAAAGTCAGAACATCTTATATTTGTTGTGCTATGTGGGTATGTACCTGGAGATTGAGTTTGTATGGACTGTGGAATTTATACAGACTAATGTTAGATTTTTCTGCTTTTCAGAGGTATAGGCATAAGAATGACAGAACCGATATATCTCAGCCCCTCATTTGACAATGTGCTGCCCAGCTACTTATTTTTACAGGCAAGTATTTGTCAGAGTAAAATATTTAAAGACATTGAAACATAACTTTGGTAAGTTATTTCAAATCTAAGGTTTTTTTCTATTACCATATTTTTTGTGGTTTATTTTTTCTAATCTACCTTTGGTTAAGCAGTAAAAAAACAAAACAAAACAAAAAAACTTTGTACATACTCTCTTTTTTGTCAACTGATTTTATTTTATTTTTAATTTTTTTATTTTTTAAAGATTTTATTTATTTATTTGACAGAGAGAGACAGTGAGAGGGAACACAAGCAGGGGGAGTGGGAGAGGGAGAAGCAGGCTTCCCGCGGAGCAGGGATCCCGATGCGGGGCTCGATCCCAGGACCCTGGGATCATGACCTGAGCTGAAGGCAGACGCTTAACGACTGAGCCACCCAGGCGGCCCCTCAACTGATTTTAAACTTTTTAAAAAACCCTATGTTGCCCCAAAGTGTGTTAATTGCTTATTAGCCTCTAGTGTTTTTTCTTGAAAAGTAATTTAGAAAATACATTACTTTAAAAAAATGCATTGGGGCACCTGGGTGGCTCGGTTGGTTAAGCGTCTGCCTTCAGCTCTGGTCGTGGTCCCAGGGTTCTGGAATCGAGCCCCACGTCATGCTCTCTGCTCGGCGGGGAGCCTGCTTCTCCCTCTCCTTCCTGCTGTGCTCTCTCTCGCTATTTCTGTCTTTCTCAAATAAATAAAATCTTTAAAAAATAAAAAAAATGCATTACTGAGGCACCTGGGTAGCTCAGTCAGTTAAGCATCTGCCTATGGCTCAGGTCACGATCCCAGGGTTCTGCATTAGGCTCCCTGCTCAGTGGGGAATCTGCTTCTACCTTTCCTTCTCCCCCCTCCTTGTGTGCACTCTCTCTCTCTCTCTCAAATAAAATCTTTTAAAAAAATGCATTACTGGGGTGCCTGGGTGGCTCAGTCGTTGGGCGTCTGCCTTCGGCTCAGGTCGTAATCCCAGGGTCCTGGGATTGAGTCCCACATCGGGCTTCCTGCTCGGCGGGAAGCCTGCTTCTCCCCTTCCCCTCCCCCTCCCCCTGCTTGTGTTCCCTCTCTCGCTGTGTCTCTCTCTGTCAAATAAATAAATGAAATCTTAAAAATAAATAAAATAAAATAATGCATTACTTTGGGATATTATTCTATTTTATTTAAGGCAAACTTACCCTAGAGTAACAATCCTTGTATGATCAAAACTAATAATGGGGGCGCCTGGGTGGCTCAGTTGGTTAAGCGACTGCCTTCGGCTCAGGTCATGATCCTGGAGTCCCGGGATCGAGTCCCGCATCGGGCTCCCTGCTCAGCGGGGAGTCTGCTTCTCCCTCTGACCCTCCCCTCTCTCATTCTCTCTCTCTCAAATAAATAAAATCTTTAAAAAAAAAAAAAGAGATGTTGACTTCTTTAAAAAAAAAAAACAACTAATAATGAATTAATGGTATAATATAACTTGTTGCCATATAGCTTATTGCTGTAGATACATGAGTTGTCCAATCTCATATTTCTGGGTGCCAATCAGAAATAGTAAGATTGGTTTACATTTTACTTTTCTCCTATAGAAATGTGGTAGTGGCAGGGAGATAGGAACCCAGACGTCTTTGAGTGGCATTAGCAGCATAAAACTAGAATTCTTAAGTGGGCATTAGATGGTGAAGCACCCAAGATTCCAAAATTTTGTACATTTTCTTAGAAAAAGATCCAGAGGTTTGTTACATTTCTGAAAGGGCTCTGGCCTTCAAAATATTGAGAACCACTGAATTGAGGGGAAAAAATGTGCTTTTTTAGTTAAATTGATAGGGGAAATGCATCATGCATGTGCATGTGTGTGTCTCATGTGTGAATGTCGAATGAGATCATAGGATACTCTAGGAAACTGTGAATTTCCTGACACTATGTTTACAGAAAACCTGTTCTTGGCAGAGGATGCTGTACTGGATTACCTCCAAAGATTTCTTTATGTTCTCTGATTCTGAACTTTAAAAGGATTTAGAATCACTGATAATTGATTTTTTTTTCTTTATAGAATTTGCCATCTGCTGTAGTAACTCATGTTCTGGATCCTCAACCCGGAGAGAAGATTCTAGATTTGTGTGCAGCACCTGGAGGCAAAACAACACACATTGCAGCATTAATGCATGATCAGGTGAGACTGTCTTCACAGCAAAAACTATTCACAACATATTACATGTTTCAGTGTTGAAGGTGGAACTACACATAACTTACAAAACATTATGTAGACATTCATAATCTAAATGATTTCAGATTCAGCCAAAGTAAAGACTTCAGTGATGGTATTCATCACGTGTTGAGTACAGGTTATCATTTGTGAAGACTATCTGAAGATCTTCTTGAATCCCAGATTTACTAATACATTTGTAGAGTAGAAGTCTTCTTCATAAAATTATGTTTAACTGCAACATTTAAGAGATTTTATGTTCTTTAATTATAAGACTTGACACTTTCTAAACTACTAAATTCTGCTAAAACTTGATTTGACAGCACATTACTGAAGTGTCAATATATACACTGATATATATATGTACATTATGATATGTACACATCAAACACATTTTCTTGAGACCCATAAAAACCTTAAGATCTGGCTTAATTATAAAGCCTGTTGCGTTGTCATAAAATATAGTAAGTCTTAAATAACTTTATTTCAGGTTTTACTGCTTTTTCCCCACATATATGTATTTGACAATATGTTTTCTTTCATTATGGGTTAGTCTGTGTTCAGAACTCAATGTGACGTTGTAACCATTCTGTGCTGGACCTAAGATTCTTCAGCTCAAGAAGGATAGGGCCAGTTGATGCTATCTTTCTTCTTGTTTCAAATTCCATAAAATTACATGGTTCTTGAAATGCTTAGACACACTAGTATCTTCACCTACTTTGATCTGGAGGCAGATTTTAATTGATTGGTTGGTTGACTAAACAGACAGTTAGTACTTACATATGCCAAGTACTGGGGAGGCAGCAACAAACCACTGGGACCAAAATTGTCTTTATTGTGTAGCTTCCCTTCTAGTTAAGAGGAGACAGATAATAAATTAAATGAATACAAGTTCTAGCATGTAGGATTGTGGTAAGGGCGGTGGTGAGCAAGAGAGGAAGGGGAGGGGCATCGGGAGTATTGAGGGGAGTGAGTATGCAGTTTTTAGGAGGGTAGTGAGAAATGCACCCTGTGAAGGTGGTTTTTGAGGAAAGACTTGGAGGTGATGAGCAATATGGAGGTCTGTGGAATGCATATTTTAGCTAGAGAAAAAGCAAGTGTGGGTGGTCTGAGGCTGGAGGGCACCTGGTCTGTTTGAGGAACCTCTGCAGCTTGCTGAGAGAGACGAAGTGAGGAAAAGAGACCAGAGAGAGGGAGGTCCCAGGGTGGATGTTGGGGTTGAGCTGTTGGCAGGATCTGATAGGACGTTAGTTGTGCTCGAGTGATGGGAAGTCACAGAAGAGTGACATAAGCCTCTTTACTATTTCAAGTATCCTTTTGGCTGTTGCCTTGAAAACAGGCTGGAAGAGGGCAAGGGTGACTGGTTTGGAGACTAATTCAGGGAAGCATCGTAGAGGTGGCAAGAAGTTCTGGAGATGTGTTTAAGGTGGAGTTGTAAGGAGTTGCCGATGCACTGGATGTGGGTTATGGAAATTTGAGGGTAATCAAGGGTGACTCCTACAGATTTTGGGTGAGGGTGACTGGGAGGAGCAAGTTCTGCAGGGAAAAGTCAGAAAGTTAGTTTTGGTGATATTAAACTGAAGTGTCTATTAGACTTGTAAGGGATGATGTTGAGCAGGCAATTGGATATTTGAGCCTGGAGTTCAGGACAGAGGTATAGACTGGAAATAAAAATATAGATTGGAAATGTAAATACATATAAAATAGAAATTTGCAAGTCATCAGCATATAGATAATACATAAAGCCATAACACTGATGTGGGTGGCAATAGAGTAGAAGAGGACAGAAGACTGAGCCGCACGGATAGTGTGTGCCAACATTCAGAGGTTAGGGAAAGAAGGAATGGCCAGTGATGTCAGAGGAAAACTAGAGGAGTAGTAGGACACCCTGGAAACAATGTGAAGAAAGGGATTGAAAGAGTGGAGAGATAGCTGTGTCAGATGTTGCTGCTGGGCCACATAAAGTGAGGACTGAGAACTTCCAGTGGACCTAGCACCAGGTCAGTGATGGGCAACCTTATCATGAGCAGTTTTGGTGAGTGGAAATGCCTGCTTGGATTGAGAATGAGGGGAATCCAAGAAAGTGAATCAAGAGCACTCCTTTGGTGGTGGTGGGGGGGAGTTATTTGTATAGGAATACAATGAAATGGGGCAGTAGTTGGAGGTGAACTCAGGGAGTATTTTATGATGAGAGAAATGATCATGGTTGTATGCTAATGAGCGATCCATTAAAAGGGGAAATTGCTAGCAGTATCTGAAGAGGTGAGATGGGATACATTTTGATGCACAAGTGGCTTTAGATGGTAGCATGCAACAGTTTATCCATGGAAATCGGAGGGGAGGCGGAGTACACAGGTGCAGATATTGGTGGGCCAGTCAGTGGTGAGACAGGAAGGTCTCTTTTGGTTGTTTGAGTTTTCTCAGTGAAATAGGAAGCAAGGTCATCAGATGAGAATGGGGATGGGGAAGGAGGTGGTAAGAGCTAGGAGGTATGAAATGTTAATCTAGGAAAATGGAAGTGAGAATGGGCTGTGGACACATCCTAGCAATTCCAGTTTGCACTATGGGCTCCGTGAATACAATAGTCATGAATGTAAGATTTGTTGGGATAGTGATGGGCTTTTTTTAGCTGCCTGGATGTAGATGTGAAGTTGGTAAAGAATTGGATTTAACCACAGCAGCATTTTTGTCATGCTTCTATGTAAGACACAGAAGCATGTATATAAGAGAGTAATGTGATACAACATGGAATCTAAACTGGGTAAAGAGCATAGCAAGGATAGTCAAAGACTGAGAGCAGTAGATCCATTCACATTTTTCTAAGTTATCTCAGATTTATACGGTGGTAGGAATTCTTAGGCACCTAGGAAACTCTTTGGCAGTTTTTTTTTCATCGTACTCATTTATAAATAAGGAAAAAATTGCCTACCTGAAGTATAAGACTTTCTGGTATAGAAATATACTTCTGCGAGGCTTAGCAGAGCCCTTCTGCTCTGATTCACTTGATAGAAGATGTAATATCTGTGTGCCCACTCCCCAAAGTGCCAGATGTTGGACTTTACCAGATGATCATTTTTGATCTATATTTAAGTGATTAAGTCAAGTGATTTACAAGCAGTCTTGCACAGAAAATAATAGGAACATTTACCGTGTCATGATGAAATTGTAACTTTTTCCTTTCATTAGTGCAAATCATTTTATCCAAAGACTTCTGATAAAAATTCACATTACTGGGGTGCCTGGGTGGCTCAGTTGGTTAAGCAACTGCCTTCAGCTCGGTTCATGATCCTGGAGTCCCAGGATCGAGTTCCGCATCGGGCTCCCTGCTCAGCAGGGAGTCTGCTTCTCCCTCTGACTCTCACCCCTCTCATTCTCTCTGTCATTCTCTCTCCCTCAAAAATAAATAAATAAATAAAATTAAAAAAATTCACATTACTTGCATATTAGTATTTGATACTATTACAATTTCTGAAACATTCACTGTGTCACAAGCAGGGAGATAATGCACACATACATACATATATATGTAAATAAATAAATTTATATTTTCAATAAATATATGGAAGGGTTAAAACCTATCTCTGCACTATATGTAAATCTACATACACTATATATAGGCACTGTATATATGTTCTGTGTGTGTATATATGCACTCTATATATGTGCCCTGCACACACACACACACACACACACACACGTATAACCTCAGTGAGTGGCCTTAAAGTAACAAAGGAAGTAATGAAGGAAGGAAAAGATATTTGTTGTTTAAAGTTTTGAGGTATTAATACTCTTGGTTCATTAGAGGAGATGTACTTTCCTGTTTATTTATACTCTTCTTTGTCCCAAAGGAATTTAAGGTGGTAACAGTAAAAACCTTAAGGAAAAATGCATTAAATACCACCAGTGCCTAAAACACAGAACATGAAATAGAAGGATTCATTTTATGGAGTTGTGGTTTTCAGTTTACCTGAATCAGTTTTCAGTTTACCTGAAATCCTTAATTGTAAAGATGATGATATGCTTTGAAGAGGTGATAACAATCTGCCCTTAATTTATGGTATATGATATTTATTGTGTTTGCTTAGAAGTATTTATCCACGGATATTTTATTCTCTCTAGTAAAAAGTCTTTCCAAAAAGTCTGTATATTTTAGATGTGCCCATGTTGTGTTTGGTTTCATAGTGCTGTGTGAAATGACCACAGAAAGTGTAGCAGCATTGTAATTGATGCATTTGTCATACAAGGATGGTGTATATAAAAGAAACAAAAGCAAGAAAAGACACTGAAGAGTTAATCTCGCCATCTCTGCAATATCATTTCATAGTATATTGAAAAAATTATATGAATGTCACAACACATTTGTAAAAGAGTGGCCTCATCTTCGTTGACTTTAACTTAACCAAAGAGTTGCCGTAGAAATTATTTTTGAACTACTTTTTATACCGTCCAGAGCATTTTGCTGTGATATACAGGTCAATATTTTTATGTTATAGTTGTCAGAACTGACATGAATTTTGTTTACATGTACAACTCAGAAAATATTGAGATGAGGATTGATTTTACAAGTAACATTCATCTGTATTCCAAAGCACTAGAAAAACATATCTGAGAACATATTCTTCCAGATATGAACAAAGCGCATCACATTGGTGATTTTTTTTAATATTTACCTCCAATAGATATTTTCAAGTTAAGTTCTTAGATGGCAAACACTATTTATGGTTTTGAGTTTTGTTAATTAAAAATATCTGTGAACTATAAGAAAATTAACCTGGCAAGAATGTGCTTTCCTATTTTGTATTTATTTTTAAGTATTTAAATTCCAGTTAACATCCAGTGTAATATCACTACAGTTTAGTGATTCAGCACTTCCATACATCACCGGGTGCCCATCACAAGTGCCCTCCTTAACCCCCATTACTTATTTCACCCACACCCCCCCACCACCCACCTGCCCTCTGGTAACCAGTAGTTCTCTATAGTTAAGAGTCTGTTTCTTGGTTTGTCTCTAAGAATGGGTTTTTTTTAAAAGGATAAGACTTAGTATTTTAATGTAAATTTGATACACATTTGGTTAAAGAATTCAGCTTTAAAACTAGGGGTGGGAGGATAGTAGGGAAGACCATAATTTTTCATCACTTTTCCTCATTATTAATAGTTTTTATGACTGCCTTGGGTTTACACTTTATTTTTATGTGTTTCGTTTGTTCTTTAGGGAGAAGTAATAGCACTGGATAAAATATCCAACAAAGTAGAAAAAATAAAACAGAATGCTTTATTGTTAGGACTGAATTCCATCAAGGCATTTTGCTTTGATGGAACAAAGGCACTTAAACTCAATACAGTTAAGGATGCTGAAGGTAAGTTAAATTTTATCTTTACAGGCTTCTATAATTGGCTTTGGATTTTGCTGTCATTGTTCTGGCCCTAAAATATCCATAAACCTTGAAAATGGCATGGATCTAAGATATTTTGCCGTAATAGATACCATTTTGCTTTTCATCTTATCCCAGAACATATATACAGTGCCTATATATAATGTGTGTTAGATTTTATTTTATTCTTTTTTAAAGATTTTATTTATTTGATAGAGATACAGTGAGAGAGGGAACACAAGCAGGGGGAGTGGGAGAGGGAGAAGCAGGCTTCCCACTAAGCCCGGAGCCTGATGCAGAGCTCTATCTATGTCAGATTTTAATAATATAAAATCAAACCCCAAGACTTGGTCAAACTCTTTGGTCTTGCTGTATTTGTCTTAATTTCATATTAAATCTCAAAAAGCTTATTAGCCCTTCAAGTTTGTGATTATTGAGCTGTTTTGATGTCTTCATCTTTTCTTGGGAGAATGGGGCTATGGAGCTGGGAAGGGAGGAAAAACTGCCACATACCTTGTTTTGGAATAAAATGTTGCATTTATTAAGTCCCTTGATTGCTCTCTTTCTTTGTTTAGACTTGATTTCATGAAATACTCAAGAAATTTGCATATTGTAATGAACCAATTGGTGTTAGTTTCCCCAAAATTATTGATTAAAGATGCTACTTTATTAAAGCTGAGGACATGGTTTGGACTCCGCACACCTTACAGACCATCTAGTTTTCCCATATATAAGCTCTTGACTTACGTACTGACCACTATCACTACTAGACAGTGGCCAGGTCAATATAATTCATTACTGTCACTTTACTGGAATTGTTGGTAGTTCACCAAGCTTACGTATCACTGAATAAAGTGATCATCCTCAAAAGCATAATAGACTGAGGTTGGGGTAAGAACAATCAAGATGTAGGGTAGCCATCTTAGAGGTTGGTCTTCAGTGCTATAGAGAGACATTCATTAATTGACTTGGGATAGTCCATCACTGATTTTTCACTCATCCACATCACTTTATTAGCTGATGGTCAAAGGTTGTCATCTTTAGCTCTTTTTTTTTTTTTTTTAATCAAGACCTGTTTCATCACAGATACTCTATGGTAGTTTGATTTGGGTTATTAAACCTAGAATGTCTGGCAATAGACCCAATCTGTTTGATGGAAAATGTATCAGTAGTAATGTGAACATCACTGTATCTTTGGAACTCCTGGAAAGTGAGAAGTTATTTTGTGACACCTGCCTAATGTGTAATAAACCTCATGGGAATAAACAAATGAAACACGTGTAAAGCTTCCTAGAAAAACAGGGATTATTCTGAAGAGCAAGGTCTGGACTATTATTTATCTTCTTACAGAGGTGGGAATAGGTTAGATGTAATTGTCTGATTACATGAGAACAGCACTTCATGGTCAGTTGATTGTTAACCCAGAAGAGTTTGTCAGGAGTTGGCAGGAGATTTATAATAGCACATTGGCTAGTAGGCTATATCCGAGAGACCCAAAATACAGTGGCTTAGAAAAGATAGAAGCATTTTTTGTTTCTTTGTTTTTTGTTTTTTATTTTGGTCTCACCTAACAGAAATGGGTGTCTGATGCTGGTAGTTTATTTATTTTTTATTTTTTTAGATTTATTTATTTATTTATTTGACAGAGACACAGCGAGAGAGGGAACACAAGCAGGGGGAGTGGGAGAGGGAGAAGGAGGCCCCCGTGGAGCAGGGAGCCCGATGTGGGGCTCAATCCCAGGACCCTGGGACCATGACCCTAGCCGAAGGCAGATGCTTAACGACTGAGCCACCCAGGCGCCCCATGATGCTGGTAGTTTAATATCTGGGTCTAAGACAGATGTTCCAGTTCTTTCAAGGGGAGGGGAAAGGGCATCAGAATCCTTGGGAATACACATGCCACTGACCAGGTTAGTCATTTGATCAGTTTAGCTGCAAGGGGGCTGGAAAATGTAGTCATTAGCTGTGTAGTCATGTGCCAGTTCAAAACATGACTTTAGAAAAGGAGGTTAATGGGTATTGAAGAACAACTAGCAGTCTGACAAAGGCTTTGTATCACTGAAAGTGATGATGGTGATCGTTAAAATTTATATTTAAAATTTTATTTTAGAGTAGTTGACATAGTGTTATTAGTTTCAAGTGTACAACGTAACAATTCTACAGTTCTATAAATTACTCGGTGCTCACCACAATTAAGTCACTTTCTGTCACCACAAAATGTTACTATATTATTGACTATATCCCCTATGCTGTGTTTTGTCTTTTTTTTTTTTTATCTGTGACTTGTTTTATAGCTAGAAGTTTATACCTCCTAATTTCCTTCACTTATTTTGCCTATTCCCTCACCCACTTCCCCTCTGGCAACCACCAGTTTTTTGTATTTATGAGTCTGTTTCTGTTTGTTCATTTGTTTTTGACGTTTGGAGTCCACATATAAGTGAAATTCTGTACTATTTGTCTTTCTCTCTCTGACTTATTTTACTTAGCCATCAAACCCTCTAGGTCCATCCATGTTGTCATGAATGGCAAGATGCCATTCATTTTTATGGCTGACTAATATGTGTGTGTGTGTGTGTGTGTGTGTGTTTGTGTGTGTGTATACACACCACATCTTCTTTATCCCATCTATCAGTAGACACTTGGGATTGCTTCAGTATATTGGCTACAGTTAAGGGGTGCCTGGCTGGTTCAGGCAGTAGAACATGCAACTCTTGATCTCGGGGTTGTAAGTTTGACCTTCACATTGGGGATGGAGATTACTTAAAATATTGACTGCTGTAAATAATGCTGCAATAAATGTAGGGGTGCATATATCTTTTTGAATTGATGTTTTTATTTTCTTTGGGTAATTAGTAGAATTACCGGATCATATGGTGTTTCTATTTAATTTTTTGAGGAATCACCATACTGTTTTCCATAGTGGTTGCACCAATTTACATTCCCACCAAGAGTGCACAAGATTTCTCTTCTCTCCACATCCTTGCAACATTTGTTATTTCTTAATCTTCTTGATACTAGCATTCTTACTGGTGTGAGGTGATATCTTATCGTGGTTTTGATTTACATTTCCCTGATTTAGTGATGTTGAGCATCTTCTTGTGTGTCTCTTGGCTATCTGTATGTCTTCTTTGGAAGAATGTCTTCTCAGGTCCTCCACACATTTTTAATCAGATTATTTGGGGTTTTTTGGTGCTGAGTTGTATAAGTTCTATATGTATTTTGAATATTAACCCCTTACAGATACATCATTTGCAGAAATCTTCTTTCACTCAGTAGGGTTGCATTTTCATTTTGTTGATGGTTTCCTTCACTGTGCATAAGCTTTTTATTTTGATTTAGTTCCAGTAGTTTATTTTTGCTTCTGTTTCCCTTTACTGAAGAGACGTATCCATAAATATGTTGCTAAGGCTGATGTCAAAGGGATTCCTGCCTGTGTTTTCTTTTAGAAATTTTATGGTTTCAGGTCTCATATTTAGGACTTTGATCCGTTTTGGGTTTATTTTTATGTATGGTGTGAGAAAGTGGTCCAGTTTTATTCTTTGGCGTGTAACTACCCAGTTTTCCCAGCACCGTTTATTGAAGAGACTGTCTTTTCCCCATTGTATATTCTTGCCTCCTTTTTCATAGATTAATTGAATGTAAAAGCATGGCTTTATTTCCAAGCACTCTATCCTCTTCCATTAATCTGTTTTTTCACCAGTACCATATTCTTTAAGTTACAATAGCTTTATAGTATATCTTGAAATCTGGGATTGTTCAGCTTTGTTCTTCTTTTTCAAGATTGCTTTGACTATTTGGGGTCTTTTGTAGTTTCATGCAAATTTTAGTACTATTCTAATTCTGTGAAAAGCACTGTTGTTGTTTGGTAATGATTGCATTAAATCTTTAAATTGCTTTGGGTAGGATGGGCATTTTAACAATATTCTTCCTGTCCATGAGCATGGTACATTTTTCCATATGTTTGTATTGCCTTCAGTTTCTTTTTTAATTTCTTAAAATTTTCAGAGTATAGTTTTTCCCCCCCTTGGTTAAATTTATTCCTAGGTATTTTTTCTTTTTGGTACATTTGTAAATGGTATTTTCTTAATTTCTCTTCTACTTCATTATTAGTGTGCAGAAACACAACAGATTTCTGTACATTAATTTTACATTTTGTAACTTTACTGAATTCACTTATTTTAATAGTTTTTTTATGGTCTTTAGGGTTTTCTATATATACTATCATGTCATCTCTAAAGAGTAACAATTTTATTTCCTCCTTACCAATTTGGATGCCTTTTATTTCTTGTCTGATTGCTGTGGCTAGGACTTCCAGTACTGTGTTGAATAAAAGTGATGAGAGTGAACATCCTTATTTTATTCCTGATCTTAGAGGAAAAGCTTTCAGTTTTTCACTATTGAGTATGATATTTGGTTGTGCATTGTTTCATAGATGGCCTTTATTACGTTGAGGTATGTTTTCCCTCAGCCCACTTTGTTGAGAGTTTTTATCATGAATGGATATTGCAGTTTGTCACATTGTTTTTCTGTATCTGTTGAGATGATAATATGGTTTTCATCCTTGTTAATGTGATGTATCACACATCCTTGCATCCCTGGAATAAATTCCACTTGATCGTGGTGAATGATCCTTTCATGTATTACTGAATTTGGTTTGCTAATGTTTTGTTGGGGATTTTTGCATCTGTCTATCAGGGATATTGGCCTGCAGTTTTCTTTTTCTGTAGTGTCTTTGTCTGGTTTTGGTAGCAGGCTAATGCTGGCCTCTTAAAATGAATTTGGAAGTTTTTCTTCCTCCTTTATTTTTTGAAATAGTTTGAGAAGAATAGGTATTAACTCTTCTTTCGGTATTTGGTAGGATTCACCTTTGAAGCCATCTGGCCCTGGACTTCTGTTTTTGGGGAGTTTTTTGATTACTGATTTAATTTCATTACTAGTAATAAGTCTGTTCAAATTTTGTTTCTTCGGATTCAGTTTTGGAAGAT